TGATTGTTCTGATCAGATCAATTGTGTAAATTTATTGCAAAGTGATGCTGCAACAATGTTCATTGGATTTCCGAATCATCAGTTTTTTGCAGTAATATTTTATGTTTGTTCTTTGTTAAGATCAACGCATAAGATGATGCGATATTTTTTGTATTTATTCTTACTATTTTCTGTGTTGTTTGATTCTTATCATCGTTTTAATTTAAACTGATGACGGTTTTTTAAGACGAAAGCGCATTCGAAGAGTGCTATAAAGGAGGAGAAAACAGACGAGGAGAAAGAGAAAGGACTGGCCGCAGCGGATCCGTTTCCCCCGGAGACATTTCTACCGGTGAATTTACTGCGTTGGGAGGATGATATAATAATTGATGGTGAACAAGTTCGTTCACAGGTTTGTTTTTGCTTTATTGAATTGTCTCTTTTTGAGTTGTCATCTTGTTGAAACATTTTTCGATTTTGATTTGTCATTTGTTGCATGATAATATTACTCTATGGGTTTGATACCACTTTTTCTCAGAGAACAGAATGAATGCTGTTGCAAAAACATCATTCAGAATGATGCAGATATTCTTTCATTCAAAATATCCCATCTGCATAATATCTCACTTGCTGTTGGTACGAAACGTTGACCTTAACATTGAATTTCTCGTGAAAATCATCTCTTGAAAGGCACCTCGAAGGAATTCTTAAAATATTCACCAACTAGTGAGAATTGGGACATCTCAAAAATATCATCAAGAAAAAGGATATAAATATGAGAGGATAGGAACGGATGTAGTTTTCAGGTGCTGAAACGATTAGCAAGTGGTAAATTACCGGAGTACGGATGGGTGCCAACACAGCAAACACGAAACTATGAATCATTCTTGGCTGCATGTAAGTCGTGTGTTTTCTGCGATTTCAGTAATTTTATTCGCAGAATAATTAAGTTCATTAAGCAGAATGTTTTATGTGCGTAGTGCGATAGAGCAGTGTTTTCGTTGGATTCAATTCATGAGCGCGGTCGTTGAGGAAAAACGCATTTGACGTTTGCATTTTCGCGCTGTCATCAGTGTATTCTTTGCTCACAACAAATGAATATTTATTTGATCGTTTTATCGGAGATTTGGATCCATTTTTTTGTTCAACTTTTTGCTAGTTCAATTTTCAGTGAAGAGTAACGCATTCGAGCAAATGTTTGCTAAGCCAGGCACAGTTGTACCCACTCGAGCGATGGCTGACTTAGGTAGTTTTAGTCTGTTATTTTTTTTTGAAGAAACAGTTTCATTCCATTTCTCTTTTCGTGAAAAAAATGAATGACTGAAATTTTTGTTTAAAGAAGTTTGTACTAAATGATTGAATGAAACTTACGAAAGTATTTGGCAGTGAAATTTTTTTCGCTAAAAATTTTGTGATGCAGATTTCCCGAAGGAGCCAACTATGGCGCATTCGATATTCCCAATGGATAATTATGATCTAATCAATACCAGATGGGAGGACGATATTATTTGGGATTCGGA